TTTAATATTATAATTAAAATGAGTATGACGAATGTTCGTGTCATTCACTAATTGCATTGTCAACATTTGTCACCGGCCTCAAATCCATATATGAAATGGTATCAACTGCGGTTGCTTAGTATACACGGAGAAAGAGAACAAACAACGTAAGATATAAAGCTATTGAGATATCTAGTCCGCGTATTTAAGTTGTCAAGATATCTTATGTACATTAGGAAGTTATAGTTTATATATGGAGAGAGCCTGACATGATTTTTCTCAAAGTTTTTCTCTGTCTCAAAAATTTGAAACAGAAACGGAGATTTTTGAGTTAATTTCTATCAATTTTATTGGAAAATGACACAATGAGATATCGTGACTGCAATTCTCCTAGGATTGAGCCTCTTCCCTCTTTTGCTTAGCATAAGATGAGAGACTTTCATCATTTCCCTTTTGAATTGAGTATGCAGTAGATTATATACAATTTTTTACGTGTATTGTCCTAACTAGAAGTTGGGGTTCCCCACAAAATATGCAAGTACACCAACAAATGGTGCATTGATGTAAGTTGTGGGCTCAGATTTGCGAAAGTCGGCTCTATCATCTTCATAGGCATCATCTTCTCCGGGACCTCCGACTAGAGCCCCAACTAACAGATTCGGATTAGGGCTCGACGAGTTAAAATAGATCGAACCCTCCTTGCATGCAATGATTTGGGAATGATCTTTGATGGACGGAAGCGATGAACCACGATGGTGAATCCTCGCTGGATAGTAATTACTATATCCAACCATATATGACATTCCTTTAGGATTATCCCCTAGAATGTAATCAACTTGCCGCTTGGCTATATGTCGAAGCGTTGTTGGACTAATGCTAACACTGCCGCAATTCACAGTCTGATATGATCTCTCCAAATAATTGGCGTAAACAAGCAAGAGGAACGAGATGGTAGTGGCGTGTTGTAGGTTGCTTCCACCGGGCCTGTAAATGAGACCTCCCGGAGAGAACTCTATGTGGTAAGATGAAGACTCGGGAATAAGAGTGCACATGAAGCTATCTGCTGATGCTTTGTATGTCTCCAGAGAGTACATGTTCCCTTCCAAGACTTCCTACAACAATATTTAGCAATTTTTCACATTGAAACGAGGAAAGAAACTCAAAATGTTCACAGTGTTTATATAGATCGATATTAACCTTAGATACGAGGACGTTTAGACCGGCATGCTTGTTGTCCCATCCGAATTCATTAATATTGTCATCTGCACCTAATGTTTTGACATTGGTTTGTATGTAATTGAGGTAAGAATCACCTTGAGAAGCTCTTCTTAACCACGCTGCTCCCCACAGCAATTCATCCTATCAAATAAAATTCAAGAAATCAAATTAAATTAGATGCTCCAACTAAGCAACACAATTCAGAAAATATACTCCAGTAGTTAATCTGTATTGCAGTTCAGGCCTAACGGAAATTCCAGGGTAAATGTGCATAATTACAAGGCATAATACCAGCATTGATTTTGTAACGTACATAAAAATAGAATGGTTGGCAAAATAACTTGCCTGGTATCCATCAAAATCACAGTAAAACGGGCATACAGCATTCCTAATATTTGAGTTATCGCTATAAGCCCCTCGATAACTATCTGCAAAATCAAAAACCCGAGTGGCAGTTTGTAGAAGGGTATCAGAATATCCAGGATAAGAGGATCGGAATGCAATGGAGGCGGCAGCCAGGGCTGCAGCAGTCTCCCCAGCGACATCAGAAGCCGTATTTGGAGCTTCAACTGTGTACACTGTTCTAGCAGTGTCCATATCTTCTGGTCTCTCCCAGCAGTTATGGTCTAAAATTGGATCCCCCACCTGCAAAATTAGAAGCTGGGAACTTCGATTGCATCTTAAAAGTTTGAGCTGTCAATAATTTAAGTCATTCGCCAAAATATAAACTTTCAACTCGTGAATCTGCTCCATTTGAACTCCACTTAATGTACAAATTCAAGATTTTAAAACTAAATTACCGTACTTTTTCCTAGATAAGCACACAACATTTCGATTTCTCTTATTCTTTAAAGTGATCTAGTAGCGAATTTTCTACCATTCTTTCCCAGCGCAATAACTGATCCACCGGTTGTTTACTCACATCAATGATCATTCGCACCTTCCCTTCTATAGCCACTACAAGAAAAAGATACCAACACCAATGGAAAATTTTCCTTGATATTAACAACCTGTTTTCGAGGGAGCTCGTCTTTCAATTCAAAATAGAATTATCGTCGCAGATAGCAGAGGTGGGAAATTTTATCGGTTAGTCGAAAATAGCCACTGAGGACAATTTTTAACTATACAGTGAAGTCCGTGTCCATTGGATAGGACAATCAACTTGGTAAGCTGCACGCACTCTTAGATGTATCGAGTGCATACGATTAGTGGGACCAGAAGTTCAGAAAAACAGACAAACCAATGCTCCACGGGTCACGGACATGTCATAAACCGCTTAATAATTGACCCTTTATTGGGTTAGTAACGTTAGTTCAACTGGTGTTGATTCTTGAACCACAAAAATTTCCAAATGATTATTGTTTATTTTCACCAAATTACCCACCTAATTCTACGCATATTATAATATACATACAGTACAGTATGAAAACCAAAATCAGCAACTCCTTTTCTAATTGCTTTTCCGATTATTATTGATTTTGAAAGTAGGAATTAGAGTTAAATCCGTACCTGGACGAAAATCCGATTGGGTTGAGAAACAGTTTTGAGGAGATAATCCGTAGCCCATTTGATTGAAACCAGCGCATTCCTCAGTTCCGCCGGCGGCATATACTCGCCGAAGTCAATCACACTCCAAGCCAACATTGTGGTGGTGAATGCCATCGGAAAATTGAACTTGACATTATCGCCAGCGTCGTAATAACCGCCGGTCAAGTCCGTATTAACCATCCACCCATCGCCGAGGCCGGAATGCCCCCGCCAATTGATTCTCTGGTCATCCGGCAAGTAACCCGATCGCTGCCCCTCGAAGAATAAAATTGATTTCGTCAATGCATCGGCATAATCGTGGTAACTCGACTGGAACAAACCAAAATTTGAAAGAAGAATCATGCAAAGTAAATGGAAACGGTGGAATTTCATCATTTTCATGGCTATACTGTAACTGTATAGAATTGTATGGAACTTATCGCAGTAGCCCGGGAGTGAGGCTCAGAAGCTGTTTTATGTATAAATATAGAGGAAGGCGGAAGGAGAGATGAGTAGTAGTGTCAGTTAAAAGTCACATGCAGAGAAAACTGTGACTCCATTACTGTGGAGGTTCGAGCTTTTAAGTAGGGCCGTTTCGCATTAACTGTGGAGGCAAACTTTTAGTACTTTCAGTTGAGGGAAGGTTAACAACACTTTCCTAACCTTTAACATTAAGTCCTTGTTTGCTCTTATTTCTTAAAATTTTTTTTCCAATTTTTTTTTAATCATACCTAAAAATCTTATTTTTAGCTAAACTAAATAGAGTGTAAACATTTAATCTCGTACTAATAAAATTAACGATAATGTAAAATAAAAGTTAAAATTAAAAAATATTCATTTGATTTATGAGTGATTTACGTCTTATACAAGAGTTACGATTTACCTTCCTCCAATACCCAATATATGTCTGTAAACTAGCAGAGATTCGTGCTTAACCTCAACCTTAAGGTCAAAGACAACAAATTTAAAATCAGAAGTCTTAAAATTTGAAGTTAATTTAAAATCCTTTAAGCGAATTCTATAAACAAGTGCAATTAATTTGAGTCCCTGACAAATTTAAGGTCGAATACAACAAATTTAAAATCGGTAAAAAAATTCAGTATCTATATGTAATGCAGGTGTCTCTACAAGCCATCTGGCAAAACTTTTGAAAAGTTAGAAGCTACATTAAGATAAGAAATTATTTTTTGAATATGTTTGGACAATTATCTGAAAGTCTTCGTCTAGAAGCAAAAGTCTTACCATATAAGTCATGCTTGCCGTTAGCGGTTAGCCCCGTTAGCCCCCAAATGGCCCCACATAGTTTAACATTAACCCTTTATATTTATTGTTTATGCTCGTTTTAAGACGTAACGTCTTCTACAAGAAGCAAAAGCCCTATCAATAGGCCCCATATGGCTTGATGTTAACCTATTTATTTCTAATTTATGTTCTATTTATAGCATAATATTTTCTATGAAAAGCTGAAGTATGACCAAACAGGTCCTACATAGTTTAAAGTTAATCATATATTTCTACTCTGTGTTCGTTTTAAAGCAAAACATCTTCTACAAGAAGCAGAAATCCTACAAGATGAGCCCTACATGACTTAACGTTAACCTATATATTTCTAGTTTATGTTAATTTTAAAGAAGAACGTTTACCTTTCACATTTATGTCCTTTATCTGTGCTTAAACTCCTACCTTTCAACTGCTATATACAAGTGTAGTTAGGGTGTGTATGATTGGAAAAATTTTCATGGAAAATGATTTTTTTCTATCCAAATTCCAACTTTTGGAGTGTTTGATTGTCGTTTTTTCCATAAAAAAATATTTTTCGACTTTAAAAAATATACATAGTTTTCCTTTTTTTTCGAGGAAAACACTTTCGTTGGAAGAAGATGGATTTTTGTTTTCTTCAAAATAAGGAAAATAATTTATTTTCTATAAGATATTTTTCATGTCAATCAAACACGTGAATCTCCCCTAACATTCCAAACAAAATTAAGATGAAGTCAACACAAAGAAGAAAATGAAAATCCAATATTTGCGTGTAATGCACGGTGTCTACAGTAGCTTGATGAGTAAGGAGAACTGTTCGTAAAAGTGATAAAATGATAGGAGTGGCTGCTAAATTTTCTGCAAGTAGGCAAAGAGATAATATTCTTATCTTTTAACCCAAGACAATTAAAAGGGCAGGCACGAATATCATTTTTTTTAACTTTATTTTGTTTTTTTNCGAATATCATTTTTTTTAACTTTATTTTGTTTTTTTTTGTTATGTTACACACTCGAGCTACCTTCTTTGTAAAGGCACATGATGCTCATATTCTTCTCTTATCCAACAAGCGAGGAGAAAGAAAAAAATATTAAAGACTTTTATTCTTCGAGTTATCTAGCCTAGCCATAGAAAAGTATTGATTTTTTTAATTTATACAAAGTCTAATTATGTCGAGAATAAAGTGCATGTTTGGCTATGCTTAAAAAAATCACTTATAAATAAATAAAAATTATATTATTCTTTTATTGATCAATAAAGAAAAAGCAAATCACTGCTAAAATATGAAAATGTTTGCCGTCTTTGATATAAATTATTTAAAATTCATATTTTCACAAACTTATTTTCAATCACACATTCTATTGGAGTTAATCAAGAAATATCACTTTTCATGAAATCTATTCTCAAAAAATTTACATCAGACACGCTCTTGACAAACTTTTAGAGCAAATAGACAAGTAAAATATTGTTTTATTATATTGTGCTCTTCTTTTTTGCCCTGGAAAAAAAAAAGGAAAATTCATTTTAATCGAGTTACTACAACTCAGTTTCCTTGCAAACTCCATCAATTTGCAATGTAAAGCCGACAGTATAACACTTAACAATATTAAGAAAATAAAGAACAAATTGAAATCTTTTTCACGATATCATTATAAGAGAAAATTGCAGCAGTGGTCCCTAACTTTTTGAATTTTAGTAGACTTTATTCTAATATTTAATTTGTGCCAACGAAGATCTTAAACCTTTGAGAAATTAGCAGCTAGGGTCCAAAGTTTGTTAAATGGTAACTTTGAATATTTTACAAATATTGACAATTAAAATAAAACTAAATAAAGAAAGAAATCCACCCCCACCACATCCATCTTCATTTTCTCCGACCAACGAGATTGATTTTCGGCCATGGCCGATTACCTACATCCACCAACACGCTGTTGCACCGACCATGGCCACGACCACCACCATCGCCACCACTGTCACATATCTCAAACAACAACTCAATATCACCTAATTTCAAAACCACAACCTCAAACATAATAAAAAATGAAAACCGATTAAAGAAACACCTTTGAATCTTTTGCAAATTTGAATCTTTTAGCAAAAAAATTTCACAACCTCCCACGTCTCCATAAATAGAAAAATTGAATAAAGAATCTTTAGCAAAAATCTTGGGTTTTGGTTTTGAATCAAGAATCTTCACAGCCTTCTAGGCCCATCCCCAAAAATCTTCACAGCCTCTTATGGTAATGGTAGAAACTGACCCCAAATCTCAATCAGAAGTTGTAAGAATTCAATCCCCATTTATATTTCTTTATTGTTTGAAACACATTTTTATGATTTGTAATGAGATGTTGTTTTGGATGATTTTGGTTAATATGATAGAGGAGAGAGAAGAGCATAGGGTAGGGTGGGGTTCCATGCTAGTGTTTCATGTGAAGAGCAGAGGCACTTTTTTGATAATTTTCGGCTTAGTGAAGATAAGGTAGGTGGGGTTAGGGAGGGGGTGTTGGGCTATATTTCCTTTTTTTTTTTTAATTTCTGTTTTATTTTTTTTTTTTTTTTTTTTTTGTTTCAGCTGTTTATGCGAAGGGTGAGAAATATCGACCTATTACCTATTGATCCTGAACCAGAACGCACATTTCGCCATTTAAGGGGTATACAGAGAGATGAACATGAAGCAATGGCTGAATAGGATGCAAAAGTAGTTTATGAAAATAATCAACAAAGAGATATTCGGGACTATGTTAGGCCCATTGTCAATGATAACTATTCCGGCATTGCACACCCCGCTATAGCTACAAACAACTTCAAACTGAAGCCAGGACTAATGCATATGGTTCAACAGAATCAGTTTGGGGATGCCGCAACAGAAGATCCAAATGCTCATTTGGGATCCTTTCTCGAAATCTGTGATACCGTCAAGATGAATGGTGTTACTGAAGACGCTATCAGACTTCGCTTATTTTCCTTCTCCTTAAGTGATAAAGCCAAAGCATGGTTCCAATCTTTGCCATATGGATCCATCACGACTTGGGAGTGGTTAGCTCAGAAATTTCTAACAAATTTTTTTCCACCCTCCAAGGCAGCTCAATTGAGGAATGAAATTGGTCAGTTCAGNTTTTTTTTTTTTTTTTTTGTGATATTTTTTTCCCTGCAATTTCAATAAATAATTAAAATGTATATTTGGTATTTTATTCTTTAGGTTTTTGCTTATTTTATTCCGAAGTTAATCTTTTGCAGTTAGGCTAAGTTTTCTTTTTTTTTTTTTTTTGTTTTTTTTTTAATTGTCAATATTTATAAATATTCAAAATTACAATTTTACCACTTTTAATTTAATCAAAATTGATCAAAGTCTAATTTTCTTGATCAACTAACAGTCAAATGGATGAGTTTTCTTCCATTTGAACCCTAACTGATAATTTCTCAAAGGATTGGAATATCCGTTAACACAAATTGAAAGTTAGAATAAAATTTGTTAAAAATCAAAATGCTAGAGACTGCTACCGCAATTTTCCCTCATTATAATGTCTAATCAAGTCCAGTACCACGTACCAACTTCGCCTAAAGAACACTTGCAAATGAAACGTAAGTCCTATTATCATAACCTCCACATACTATCGAGAATACCACAAAATTACACGCATCGTGCAACATTTATGGCACCACACATGGGCTATTAAGTATTCAATAATGAACGAGCTCAATTGAAAATAGTACAATCATAACAGTTTTTCAAGAACAAAGTCAAGATTAGCCGAGTTCAAACCTTAAAATCACTCTAAAAGATGAAAACAACAATCTCACTTCAAATAACAAAACAAGTAAAGAGATTAATGTGGTTCGCCTTGCGTGAGCCACATATCTCATCCTATTTCAATACCTTCTGGGAAAGCGGTCCATGAACCTCCCAGACGGACACTCGAATGCCATGTGTCCTCTTCCCCCACAGTTGTGACATATAGCCATGGCGATACAATCCCGGCTCGTATGCCCTACCTGGTTGCAGTTCCGACAAACAATATCTCGATATCCACCTCCACGAAATCCACCCCTCTCTTCAAGGTATTGCCCTTTAAGCACCCTCTAGCCACGTGCCTAGATATGTTGCACAAATTGCAGACAGGATCGTTCTGACAATCACGGGCGAGATGACCTGGTTTCCTACAGTTCTTGCAGGCTTTGTCATTTGTACAGTCAGCCGCCATATGGCCTTGCTTAAAGCAGTTATTGCAGAGTCTTAGATCACCAGGTGGCAATGGTGGAGCAGTGCAGTCCCTAGCACGGTGTCCTGCCTTGCCACAAGTATGGCAGATACCCTCATTAGGACAATTTCCAGCCATATGGCCAGGTTCTCGACAGTTCCAACAAAGAGATTTCGTCGTGCATTCTGAGGCAATATGCCTGAATTGATTTACGAAGAAACAAAAGCAAAGACAAAAAGAGTAACGTTAATCCTTCTTAGGATTGGAGGAATGTTTTGTGTTGAGAAACATAAAATCGGGAAAGTAAAAAAGAAAGAAAGACTAAAGAATTTCTACAATAGATTAGCAAAAAATCTAAACTAGAATTAAGTCAATAGGGATTATAAGAATTCTCACCCAGGAAGACCACAATTGTGACAGATGGCCACATTAGGGCATTCTCTGGCAAAATGACCAGGCCTTTTGCAGTTATTGCACAGAGTACTCTGACTGCAAAGAACATCGTACTAAAACTGTTAATATCCCGGTATACCACCAGCGTAAAGCAAATTATTACTAAAAAACAGTCTGGATACATAATGCTGCAAAGCAGAAAGTACACTATAGCAGCGAGTCAACAACAATGATATACTTCACAAATAATGATGGCAAATTTTCAGACCTTTCTTTCAATTTTCTTTTATTGTATAAAAGCTGGGGAGGAGAAACAGATCAAGAATAGTGAAGGGTCCAAACATGCATAAGAATATGTCAAAACAGAACTATGAAGATTTATTCCAGATCCAAACATGAACATAAAACTCTCCTAAAGCGAGGCAGAGCATTTCTGTTTCCATTTCAGACAGATCTCACTCATCACTTGTTTTCTTCTTCCCAACCAACATGTACAATTTCTAGGAAAGTTATGGACAGATGAATGAATAGAGACCAGATAACCTGAAACCCCGACGTGAGTCCCGTCCATATGGTGCATCGCGGTAAGAATAACGTTCAGCACGCATCTTTCGAGCCATTGGGCTCCGGCTCCGGCTCCGGCTCCTGCTTCGGCTCCTGCTCCTGCTCCTGCTCTGGTTGTCTAAGCTCATTTTCAAATCCACACCACTCAGTAAACCACCGACTACCTGGAAAAATATCACCAACACCACAGCTGCTGCCACCTCCCTGTCCACCACAACCACACCCCAAGCCACATCAGTGAGTCCCAGAAAATGTTTACTTTATCCTTCGTGATTTTAACACCAGATTCCCACACAACTATTGCCATTTTTCAACAAACCATACCACCGTACAACGGTTAGAGAATTGGACACCAGCACCTGCTGAATTCCCTAGATCAACAAAATACCGTCCAATCACATCCACAGCATGCAAGCATCTCTTGATATATACATCACATCTAACTACTAACCAACCATTTAAAAAATCCCTTCTCAAGACATGTCATCCAAATATACGAGAGTGATTCTACTACCCGCACACACACCCATGACAACAGTTTCAAGTTGTGAATAATTTGGATGAATGGCACCCATCACAAGTGACAGATAAATATGAAACTGAAAGAAGAAAAAGGAAAACAAATTTTCCAAATGCCATTGAATCAACTGCAGTGGGTCATGCCCCACTAAACCTTTATATGAGTAAATTATACAGTGGTGGCTATTGTAGGTAGGGGTGCAAACTTTGAATAGGTAGCTCTTCGCTGTTGTGTCATCGAGACAACGACATTTTCTACAGTATATTATTAAGGTCCTCACATAAAGAAATTGAATCATTTCCACTTATGCTTTCTTCCACCAGTAACCCATATTATTATGCAAGATACAATATCGAGATATTCCATGAATGTTGTCTTGATTATGATTCACCAGAGCCAAAGGCTTCTGCCTTGCTAAAGAATTGACCATTGGCAGCAGTTATACTTCAATGAATAGGATACAACAAAATTCAGAGCCGACACAATCTGAACTGAGTTGGGGGAAATATCAGGAGGGCGTGATTAAAAGGTTAGAAGAAATTGTATCAGAAAATTCAAGAAATTTTGACAGAAGAAACTGTATTAGAAAAGAGAAAAAGAAGAGACGTAAAAAGCAGCAATTGTCTTGTTCCCACATATTGCTCCAACAATGCTTCCCATATATCATATAATCCTCATATAGTCACAGAAAATTACAAGAATAAAGCAGTGTAAACTGTAAAGCTCTTCTATTTGCAACTGGAAGAAAGGCCTTCAGCACGATGACTTGTGTCATGTAAAACCTTGGCGTCTCAAACTGAACATTTAACGCCATATTTCTACATGTTTAGCAGTTTTTAAAAGGCAAAATTGGGTATGAAGGTGTTTTGCCTCTGTCAGGTGACGCGTAAGCTTGACTCATTTTAAGGCGTAAGCATAGACCTCAACCAGTAAACTGTAAACCATAAAGTATCTAAAATTTCCATTATGAAACATTTCACCAAATTTAAAGTCAATTGCAACTTTAAATTTTAAATGGATTGGCAAAGTAACAAAAATAAATAAATAAGAATCGTGATCACATAATAAGAGCACTAATCCACGATTAGAACTACAAGTATAAAACAAATTAATCAATTTAAAAAACTTTGCTTTCTATGACTTCAGAAAAAGTTGGAGAAAGAGAATAAAAACATAAAGATGGCGAGAAAAATATAAAAGAAAGAAAATATTAAAGTTGTGTGTCACGAGTCTCCTGTCGCCATATTTCCATTGAGAATTTGAAACTTCAGTAGGAAGGGGCTATCATGCTTTAATAGTAGAAGGCTAGGTCACAAGTCTTCACTTCTTTTCTTCTCTAGTTTCTAGATCTTAAGGTTGGTTTGTGTTTAAAATAATCAAAAACCCCGTAAATGTCCTAGGTTACTGAAAATGAAGAAGACCGGTGACAAAAAGCATGAGCTAACGGAATGAACACTCAGCCGCCCCTCAAAAAGTTGGGGTGCTAGCCTCGGAAGACGGAATTCAAATCCTAAGCTAGAGATAACATTACATCTCTGTCACATGCACACGAGATAATAATAGCAATTTAATGCTGCATTATACAAATTAATATTGCAACTCAAAAAAGTACCTTCTGGATGCTAAGACAAAAATAAGAATGATACATGTTCATAGAACAGAGTTATCACATCTTGAGATACCATAATTAACATCAAGTGGGTCTGCGACGATTAATGTGAAAGCAATTTCTGAAATTCGCAAAATACAATGAATGAGAAATTAAATATTATTTCATACACTAGGGAAGTAGACAATATTTTTTTTCCTTTCGTCGCTTAGAAGAAACTTTAAATCCAAAAAAGAGGACAATGGAACTCAGATCCGTAGCTGTGCTATACATGCTTGTACAGAAAAAAGTTATATTTTAAACAAATTATGTACTTGAAAAAAAAAAAAAAAAAAACCTAGCTTATAAAGCATTATTTTATCCAAAATCAACCGATGAAACCATGCCGACTCACGAATTAACACTGAATCAGAAACCCTAAGAATAACCGAATAGAATTAATGATAATAAAACGTAAACAAAATAAAAAATCAAAAGGCACAATAGAATTAAACATCACGCAAAGATTAAAACATATACCTCCACCCTAACCAGCAAATCTAGATTAATGGTGAAAATTGATATAAAGGAGAAAAATAAAAGAGAGAGGAACCTCGAGAGACGGGTCGGGTTGGACACGGGGATCCGAAATGACAGTGGAGGAGAAAATACAGGCCGAAGAAGCGTTGATTGCCGAAGCTTAAAGGTGAAATGCTCTGATTAAGCCCGCCCGTTAAATTATAATTCACATTTTTCATTCGCATTTTTTAATAAAATAATATTATATATAATTAAAAAAAAAATTATTCTTTTAATCACACATTCTTCGAAAAATTATTATACCTCTCGTTATAGTGTAGAATAAGGGAAAAATCGTATGTACAAAATTATTTTTTATAGATCTTTTACATCCACTCATATGTGTGGGGTCTATCGAAATAAAAAATGAAAAAAACCCACCCACCCCTTTGCATCGTGTGTATCTGACGATTTTTTTTTGATACCCAGATATCTCAACTTATACCAGACTATATCCTGAACCACCCAAAATCGGTGTCTCAACTCTGGGCGGAGGTAAATCGCGGGTTATGCCCAATCAAGCCAGTGTCCATGCAAGCTTTATACTCCTGGCCCAAAGGGAGCCCTCCTGCGCCGGCTTTTATATCACCAAGTTGCTCCACCACATGGTTTGGGTCTTACAACACTTGGCTGCTCTGTCCGTGATTCGAACTCCTCACACTGGGGTTGCAAGCCCAGCCTTGCACTGTCTTTGCCATCTCTGATGTGCCCCGAGGCACTCTAATGATTTTTTGTAGAACCATGCATGGTTTGTACAACAATGAGGTTCAAATAGCGGCTACATTTGTAAAGAGGCAATATAAGACACTTCCATTACTATTTCAACTTCGATCATCTTTTCATCTGAACACACTTGAATAAGAACTAAAAATTTATTAAATTCTTAGTTGAAAATGTGTATAAATTTCAAAGTTAAATACTATGAAGTGATCAATTTTGAAAGGGTTCTCTTCTAAAATAGTTAACTGTGTGGACCTCTTTGATCTTAAAGAGTCAACAACCAATCTCGTGGGTTACATTTGGGGTAAATGCTAATTTTTTATAAGTTAGAAGATGTTAAAAAGAATAACATTGTGGTATGGGAGTACATAAATAAAGAAAAAGAAAGGAAAAGATTTAAGAAAAACACAAAGATTGATAAATCACCCGATTGGTCATTGAACTTTGTGTAAAATTTCCAAGAGATTCTTGAGCTCCAAATTTTTTTCGTTAGTCACTGAACTTTATAAGCCTCTAGTTGAGCCACGTTAAAATTCTCATTCTCATTTTTTACTCATTTTCAATTACACATTTTTTAATAAAACTAGGTGCAAGCAACGTGCAATGCACGTTTGCTTAGTTTATATTTAGTAGTTTTGTTTAAGAATTAATTTGTTATCAATAAAGATATAATTTTTTTGGTTAATTAAGGGCGTGTCTGGGCGCGCTGCAAGGAGAAAGGAAAATTGATTATGTTACCGTTTTTTTTTTCAAACCTACAGCCCTACAATGAGAGAATTGGTCCAAAATTGCGGCTCCCAACGGCATG